AAAAGGAGTGATTTAGATACATTTCACATTGAGTTGACACATACTGAAAGAAACCTGCAATGTTAAGATACAGATTTTATGTTTAAATTCTGCTTTTCATTCTGAAACACCCTCAAGTACTTTACAAACAGACATATTTGGAATGCTCCCACTTTCTAGCACTGAAATAGTTACCTACCTCCTGAGTGAGACATAGCAGATGTTTCTGTGCAGAGTGCTACAGAACAAAGCAGTATGCTCTTCACCACCACACTACAGTTGATAGGAAAGAATAAGCAGATTGTAATTATTTCAATTGAAATTTGGCAAAGAGCCCAGCATCAGCAATTCTGCTCCTCTGTAAGACTGCCGTGAAACACAATTGTACTCCAGGTTTTACCACTCACTGGAAAAGCTGGAATAATCATGTTGGCTGGAAAAATGGTTATTTGAATCAAAGCTGTAAGCTCAAACAGACATCTCAGTAAATCTACACTAGAATTTCTATGCAAGAAATCGTTGGTATTTTAACTCCTAACTATAGCTTCTCTGGTCTTTTCTGCTTCTTTCACTGTAATGATTTGTTAGTGTAATTATAAGTAAAATAAATAAATAGAGATAAGTGTAATTACACCTGTACTTATGTAATATATACAATATATGTATGTATGCATAGACAGATAAAAACAAATATATGCATCAGTGTTTTTAAATATAAATCATATATTGAATGTGTTTGTATATTATAATACTGTTTTAGTCTTTTAGTCAACTAAAGAAGATTTTATGTTAAATTCTCTTGCATAAGCAACATACATATGTAAACAAATCTCAGATGACCTCGACTATATGTGAGACATCATTTTCCTTATGTAGGCTTTTGTGAGTTTTACATTAATGATTATGAAAATAACATTAAAAAAATAAAATAGGCTGATCCAGTATTTTATGTTTGTGTTTAGGGATAGAGGTGTATATACATAAATATGTATCAAATTTATGTACATATGTGTGATTACTGTAGGTGTCAGTTACTGAAATATAGCAGATTTGCACGTGTACATTGAGAACTCTTCAGCCTTACCGAGCAGACCACAAGAACAGCAGCCTAAAGGAAGGGACAGTACAAACTGAACCACTTCATGGACCAGTCAGCCATCAACACCACAGCATCAAATATACCCCTCAGTGGCTAGCATGAGTCAGTATTTGAGGAACGTAAACTGGATGTATATCCTTGTTGCTATGTAAATTCTAGTATGTTTAGAAAACCAACAACAAGCTGCACAGTTAATCCCTAAATGAAACAGTCAAGACTGCAGTAGATAAAACTGGAGACAAGAGCAAGAAAAGCAAATTGTGGCAAGGGAGCAGGAGCTGGGCTGTGAATGCTATGCTCTAAGTACATAAATCAGTAGGATTTTAAAACAAATATGCAAATCTGTAACCTTACTGAGGACCAGAGATGAAGGGAAAATAAATGAAGAGATCAGGAGAGGTATTAAATAAAACATTTACTTACAAGAGATTTCTTCTCTACAGGTGCTTCTGTTCCAGGCACAAGGAACTTGAAACTACATGATAAAAGTCCTGGGACCACAACGAAAGGCAAATCTATAACAAGTGCAGCAGGTCACCAACTGAACAGGAGGAAACTTAAGTGCCTGCGACCAAATGCCAATAGCAGGAAATGTATTTTGCAGTATAGAGATACTGCAAGCATAAAAACTTATATATTTGAACAACAGAATATTTAGATTGATATAATTTTCTACAGCTTTACTGAAGGTAAATTGAAATATGCATGAAATTACAGTCATCATACAAACATGATGGTTTTCACAAGGCTTGTTCCAGTATAGAATGCACATAGATCTAAAGTTTCATGCCTTTTTTTTGTTATGCCCCTAATACAGCAGGATTTCTGACTATATATGGGTATGTAGAGAGATTGCAACTGGCATTTTGAGCAAAAACAAGCACAGCAAAGATAGGCATGACTGATTGTTTTAACAAACAATTTTGCAACGCGTATGCAAGTCTGAACTGTTTCCAATTTTCAACTAGCAGCATGAAGTTATCTTGACCAAAGGCTTTTATTTTCAGTTCTGAAATACTCACTTTTTACCTGCTACTGGTAAATAATTGAGACCCCAGAGAAGAAATAACATCAGAAACATGTTCTAATGAATTGAAATTTTGAATATTTTATTGATAATTTCATTAGTTTACAGTGCCTATACCACAAGAATTCCTATTTCCAGAGACCACGGAAAATGAAATACAGAATTATTTTACACTGCTATACAAAACAATTTTTAAAAAGTCCTTTTAACATTATTTCAATACAAACAACATTTTCTTGCTAAGTCTACTGCATCTTAAGAGACATTTGGGACACTGAAATACCACAGCTCACAGTAGATGCTCCATAACCACTGCCTTTTCCATTAGTTTCTCTGAGGTGTAGTACCAGCGCGTCAGTTCAGTCCACACAGTCTGGAATTTCCTCTCCTAACTCAGCTGTACGCAGGCAGAATCCAGAGCGGCGGCAAACATCTAACTGCCATCTGAAGGCCAAAGCACAGAGCTGTGCTGTAGCTTCTTCCAAGTTCATCTGTTTTCATCATGTGTCAGCTCTTCAGTCCACTGTGACCAATGACTCTTCCTCAGTCACGCTACACTGAACTTCTCTCTGCAGTTGTTCTGTTACCTGCAACCCCCTGTTTGAGGCTGAAATGAGTCTTACATGGGATGCTTTATCCCAACAACTGATTTTACCCTCTTTCTCTTTTTAGCTTTTCAATTCTCTTGTCCAGAAAAGAGAGTATTTAGCATCTTTCTTTTTCTTTTTCTTTTCTTTTTTTTTTTTTTTCTTTTAATTCAAGGCAGCAAATTTCAGGCATGTGTTTTTTTTTTTTTAAAGTTCTGCCTTAATGCAGTTCCAGCTGAACTGAATGTTTAACATTCGCTGATTTCAGAGGTTCTATGAGCAGATCTCTACTTAGAACTTTACAGAATGTCAGTATTCACTATAAGAGTAATAGTTTATGTAGAACACAGATGCATTTGATCTCTTCTGTATATTCTTTTAAGTACATGAGAGCAACATTCTTGATTTTTTTTTTACAGAAAATGAGACCTTCAGCAAAAATACTGCTTTGAAAAATACTGAAAAAAAAAAGAAGACAAAAAGTGTACAAATATGTACATACTACTTTGAAAAGTGGGCAATATACGTGATCTTTACTTGCACTCACATAGCAAGACTTGTCTTAAAGAGTTAATCTAGGAAAAATGAAAAATGTTACACAATGAAACAGCTACATTTTGAATAAAAACAACGATGATATACATGTACAATATTGTAATGATATAAAACTTGATGAAAATAGTACTGGACATTATCAAATTTAGGATTTAACTGATTATCCATTCTTAGCAGAAGAAACACGCTTCACAGAAAAAAAGCTGCTTCCCACGGCAGTTTTCATGAAAGTGAAGCCAAAAATGTTTCATAAATATGAATGTATTAAAAGTTCTGTTCTTCAGAATTTCAGTATTATAGCAGTTGGGTGTTTGTGCTGCAGAGAAAGCTGGTAACAGCAACCTAATGGTAGAAAACAAATGTGTATACACACACACACATGCACACACACAGAAACATGCTCAAATACATGTGCTTAGTTCCTTAGTTTGTTTATACAGACATAAACTTATTCATTCTTGATGGGGCAACACCAGGGATGGAATTCACCTCTATTTTCAGTTGTCTTTATAGTATCAACTACCTCAACTCCAGTGAGATGAACCTCATCCAAAGAAATATCAGCTGAACATTTTATGAAAACTGTTTTCATATTGATCATATTTAAGGCACTTGATAAAAAAAAAAAAAATCTAAAGTGAGTTAAGGCTGAACACAAAAGGGAAAAGTCCTTATATGTAAAATTTGGAAATTAAAAAAAAAATCCTGAGTTTTGATAAATAATTTTATTATAATAAAATACCATGTCTACTGAAAAAATGTCTTTTATATGATATTTTTTTCTTGAAAGATTCATGCCTTAGTGCACAAAATATGGTAATAAGTCTTTGGGGACATCTTTAATAAAAAATTCATAGGACACGAAAAGCCAAAGAATGACCTGTTATGTATGTACAAAATGTGTATTGCTCCTGGCAACACACACCATGTTTACTACAGGCATCTTTATCTTTCTGCTTTTTACAGGGTCCTGCCCATATTTTAATGCTTTATAATTAATTAAGCTTCACTAAACTATTTACAGAAGCAGAAACTAATCACACATCTTCTTAAGCCCATAAATGTGGCACTACTGAAATAGAACATTTTAAAACAACATTGAGTGTGCTACATAATACTGCTCTTTCAAAGCACAGTTTGTGAATTATTTTCCTTTGTGAAGACTTAAATCCATATGAAAACAAATGTTCAAATTCTCCCGCTGTTTTTTTTCTAACATTTTTTCCACCTGCTGTTTCTGAAGGACAGTATGCCAATTGCAGCTTTGGCTGTCTCAAAAGTATCTTGAGAAAGCTGTTAGGACTCTTGAATGCCCACTCATTACAAAGGGATACAAACAATTTGTTTTCAGTTAAAAGTTGGTAGCTTCCAATACTAGCCATTGTTTGTATGGATCTACTACTCTACGCTATTGCTTTTTGTGTGTTTTTCTCTCTTCTCTTGCCATTCAACACAAATAACATGGCAACAGTTAAATGGATCATACTCCAGTACTGCTAAATGCACTGAATAAGCAAAGAGGCTACAGAACAGTATTTATGTAGGCCTTGGAGGTTCCTTCTACAACAATGGGTAAAATAATCATCTGAGCAAAATGCACTTTCAATTTGACCGCATCCTTTAACAATTAATTAACTACATCTATAAAACCCAGATAAAAACTTCTACTTTTTTACATTTAAACTTGTATTACAACATATTTCAGGTTTTATTTAAAAATAAAAATAAAAAACCAAGAACAAAACAACACTCATGGTGGTTAATCTGCTTTATAAAAGATAATACAATATATTGAGTTATACATAATACTGGCATTGACCCAATTAAAGTTATATTATACTGCTTAGTAATTACTGTGACTCCAGTTCCTACAACTGTTACGGTGAATACAAATGGTGATTTAATATACAGGAAGCAGGGATCGTTCGGAAGTGCTGATTCAGAAGGATTCAAGTGCTAACAACGATTTTTTATGCTTTTCTTCATGTTTTGTAAGTGACAACATTATAAGCGTCCATGATTTTGAGAGCTACACAGATTTGGGGCAATTCTTTTTATCAAGTCTTCTTTGTGCGAAAACAAAACTAAAGTTTTCTGAATGCTACCACCTCATTAAAAGTAATTGCTACTTTTTCTTCAAGAGGCACCAGTGATAATATATGAGAATATACCTTTTATGTCTGTTTTATGAGGAGCTGTACTTGTTACTGGAACGGAAGTTATCATATCCGTGATCATTAGCTTTGAACTTTAAACACGACTGTCTTTCCTCCAGGGACAACAGATCTTTGGATTGGCACCAGCAACACAAACATGACTGTAAAAATGAAAGGAATGAACAATGAACATCCAGCATCATTTTGTTTTGCACATGTTGCAGGACGCATGGAAACACTGCCCTTCTTCAGTGGTACTTTACAAAAGAGACAATGTGTAAGCTTCCATTTTGTCAAGGCAATGTAAGCCAAAAATAACAAGGCTATGTTCTGCACTGCTTAGATCACAACTAGCCGCAGCAAGCTGAGTGCTGGATGGCAGGGAGGGCAGTATTCCAGCCACATACATAATAGCTGAGTCTGGTCTGCAATTCTACATGCATCTGAAAATAAAATCACTTCTTTTCTCTCACAATCTTTCCTGTAAAAAAATTATGGAGTAATTTGTACTTCCTAAACGAAGCACTGTTTAGTTCATTATTAGAGGGGAAAAAAGATTAAATAGGAGAATGTTGAAAAACTACATAAATTGTAGCAGATGTACTTCAGCCCTCTTGCTGGTGTTACAAACTGACTGGCTTTTGAATGTCCTCCTGTGGTCCTGACAGGAGGGGGTATTGCATGGTTTCTGTCTCAGGCTTTTTCTCTCTGCACAATCAGGACTTTGATTATTGTGTGTTTTTAACCCTGGTTATTCCTTCAGAGTGCCAGCAATGTAGACAGGGAAAATGAGGCCAACACTTAAAGCTTTTGCAACATGTTGTAAGTATGAGGGAGACATCACAGCACTTCTAGACTACTAGATGTAGAGCTGACTGGTATCTGACTGAAAATTACAGCCATTGAAGATTTTACACAACTAGGCAATAGGCCTAGCAGTGATCAACTGTTAAATGCCTTGCAAAGAAGAAAAACATAAGAATTTCTGCACAGCAGTGTAAGAATCTTGATCATTGTCTGAAGACAGTGAGTGGCCTCAAAAAAGCTCAAAAAACACTGGTGCTGTTTGGTGCTGCTGGATGTCAGATCTAGACATTTTATGAGCGGATCTGGTAGATGTAGATCTGGCTGGCTGTAAAGCTGTAGGACTGATGGGAGAAGGGCTGCAAACCAGAACCTGAAGTCCAACGTGGAGAATGAGTGCCTAGGCTATTGACACGAACCAAGACAAAACTACGAGCAGATCAGACCTTTCCCTTGGTGTTTGAAAGTGACAAGGGAATACTCATACACTCTTTGTTATCTATGCACATACTGAACCAAGTGCTCAGTAAGTTTCTGGGGAACACGGGGTCAGTGTGTCCCCTCTGTTGGGTTGCAGAGGATATGACTACACAAATTTCCAGAGAGCAGCCTGACACTGTTTTGTCAGGGCTCTCAAAGTGGCCACGTGCCAGGACCAGTCAGGAAATGATGGTGCTAGGAGGGTTTATTACACGTTATGCTATTTTGTTTTCTTTTTTTAACTCTAGGAATCCTCAGCACCTTTCTACATAGCTTCAGAGGGAGAAGGTGAGAATACTTAGCATAATGCAACTGAAATTTAAAGTAAACTTCAATGAAGGTTTGTAACACTTTGTGTGTGTGCTATACAATGAATTTTACAGCTGACACCATCTCTTAACCAGAGGTGCAACTCCCAACAGTCTCTTACCTTAAAGCAGTTTTGGAATCTCTTGCTCACCAAATACAGAGCAATTGGATTGATGCAGGAATTCAGTGAGGCCATGTTAATGCCAATGTAGTCCATCACAAGAAAAAAGCTGTGTGAAAATTAAAGTAGACTTCTCATTTTCTCGTAAAATGTTTACAGTTATAAAGATTGGATTCTGCTATGGTCAACAAAGAAGAAATATTAAATGTGATTGTAAAGGGACCTCTGTCAATAGGACTAACTCATGCAGGTAATGATTGTGCTTAATAACAAAGTTTGAATCAGTAGACCATTCTCATGAAAGTAATTTCAAAAGATCCAGTTGCCTTAACTTCTGGGAGGAAATATTCCCAACGTTTTCTTCACAGGTTTAATCTTATCTATTCAGTCGAAATGGAAAATGGGGACAGAATGTCCCCCACATCCACGTAATGTCACAAGACAGAATGAATGTCCCAAAACGGATCAGGAAAAGATAGGGCAAACAGGATAGAAGACCTCTGTTTGTGGTCTTCCTTATAATTTCCCAACTGTTAATGGAGTGAAACAAAAATGTTCTAGATAAGGAAGAAAACTTCAGATATACAGAACAAGTTAATTCACTGGGAAATCCAAATATCCTTAAGGAGAATTCAGCAGCCCATATGTATTTTATTTGTGTAGTCTCACCTTAAAAGTTCACATCTATTGGGGTCCTTTTGATCATAAATAGTGAGTTTCAATATTCTGCTTAAATGAAGTGGAAGCCAACACAAGGCAAAAACAAGTACCAGGCAGAACACAGTCTTGGCCACCTCGCGTCTCTGAAAATGAAAATTGGAAAGAACATTGTTATAGTTTCTGTGTCTCTCTTAATGGTTGTTTCCTTCCAATATCCAAATGTTTAATAAAATAAAATAAAATCCCTATAAAAATAGGAGTTACGAGAACATCAGAGTACTTTACTTTCTTGGAATATGTACTTAATGTTCTTTGTTGTTTTAGATGTCTTGCACCAACTCTCTGTATCTCTAATTTACTGAAGTATGAGTAATGACATGAAAAATCACAGACATAAACAGTCTTTTAAATCAAAATGAGGAAGATAGTCATCAGCTCAATCACTTTCAAAGGCCAGCTAGTTTTCAACTGCATTTTCTTGCACTTTGATCTCAGTCCTTCCATTCATGGTTCTAAGAGATTGAAATTATAGCATTATCAAAGTAAGAAGATCATGCTTATTTACATCACCATTGCATATTAGCATGCAAAATATAAGTCTGTTAGAAAAGCATGGATCACAAATATATTTTACAGTACAAAGGTAAATTAATTCTCTGTTTTCAGAATTCCATTCATGACACATGATGTTTCCCTCTGATACAGTACTAACTTGGAATGTATTCTGCAATGTGTTTTGTTCTGATACACTGATAACCTTACTACAGTTTGGCATGAAATTAACTCAAAAATAATTAACAATTCTACAGCACCAGCTTCTATATCATGGGATGATCTTAGTTTTAATCACAAAATAGCCAGCTCTCATTATTACAAAGAAATGAGCCTATAAAATCTAGAATCTTATCAGCAGATAAGAACAAGTGTCTTGCGATCATCACTGAACTTCTTAGGTTTCTAACAGCTTTGATACATACATGAGTTTATTAGCACCACTGCCATGAAGTACTCCTTAGTAGTAATCTTGAAGTTGTCATAAAAGCGTAAGACAATGATGTGGCATAAAGTCTACGAAGTTGTCAGGGATAAATTTTTACCTGTTTTAAGTGATCATTTAAAGCAATCTGCATCCCACTTTTCTTTCGTAACATCTCACAGGTCATGAGAGTATAGAAAAGTGCTGTGATAGCCAGTGGCAAACAGAAATAAAAGCTGAACAGCCACCAGTCTTTAGCTTGCTTGTAGAACTAGAAAAGGGAAGAGGAAAAAAAAAAAGCATTAAGAGTTAAATGTTTACAATTTTGAAAAGTATATTATAAAAAATTGGTCAGTCTGTCCTGAAAAAATATCTATATAAGGTGTTATGTTACAGCTGAGAAAACAGGACAAGAAAGCAATATGCCCTCAACTCACAAAAAGACAGTCTTCTGAAGGTGCTTATTTAGCCAGCATAGTTCAGAAATTTGCCAGTATTTCATCTGAACATGTTCAGATGCATTTCTCATACACTCGTGAACATTGTGATCCACAGAACACTGCGAAGGCTGAAGCAGCTGTTCCAGAGAGCTGTGATACCACCTTTGGTGTCTTACCATCATAAAGGATGTTTTCTGTATGGGGTGAAGCAGGCAGATTCTGAGATCCTTTCCCCTGTACTCCATTGTTATCATGTCAAATGCAATAGCTTCAGGAACAGCCAATACCACTGATATAACCCAGATGAGTACAATTTCAACAGCAGTCCACTTTGGCACTCCGATTCCTTTAATTCGACTCCAAGAAGCAACTGCTCGGTACCTGGAGTAACAGCATATGTTTGCAGATTAAAAGCACAAAGAAAAAAAAGAAGCTGTCTGGTTTAACTGGCTTTTAAACTCAGCATCTTAGTTGAATGGAAAAGAGAATTTGGGGCAGTGCCCTTATTTAAGAGAGTACAGAGTTTGATGGAAAAATGGGTCTCACCTGTCTATACTGAGGGCACACAAACTCAACACTGTGATGCCCACTGATGCTTTTTGAATGAAGGGCACTAATTTACACATTTCGACACCAAAGGGCCAGTCCTTTGCAAGTAGCTGTAAAAGGAAAACAGCCATTAGAAATGAACAATTTTTTAAAAATAATTTCCTTAGATGTAACACATTATCTTTCTCTATTTTTTTTCCAACTTGTAAAACTTCATTAGAACCATTTCAAAAAAAAGACCCTAAAGTGCATGTCCTAAAAACTGAACAGTAGCAACACAGCCACAGGCATAATCCTGACTTTTCAAGCCCTGCAAATTCAATTCATTTTGCTTCCAACTTCACCACTTCAGTGTTCACGGTGAAAAAGCGAGGATTTCCCACTTCCTCGTATTGGTTTTATCTGACAGGCTTTTCCTGAAAGTAATTCTCCATTTATTAGAAACAGAGAAAACAACTCAAGGTTGATCAGAACAGAAACACAACAAACAGCTGCACACCTTGGGTGGGGGTTATTTGAAAACTGAATGTCGAGGCTTCCTCAGCTGAGAAGATGGGTTAGACTGGAGGGCAATGTGTCCCACAATTTTTTGCTGACCATGAGGGGCCTTCTTGAGGGTCCTCCTTCCTTCCATTCAAGGAATACAACTAGCTTGTGTGTTGTAAAGATTTCACAGATGAGATGAATGCTGTACTGGAGATCTTTATTGATTAGTTTTGCGATTGACCAATAATGTGCAATACTACACCTTGTATCTACTTCTATCACAATCCCTGTTTCTTATACCTGCATAGACATCTTCTGACATATCCCCACTGCTGCGCTCTAGCTGATTTAGAGAACAAGTCTTACTGGACACAGAAAGCACTTTCCTCACAGATGAAGCTATGAATTGTTTGCCTGTAGCTTCAGTTTAGAAATATTTAATCTCTGTACTCCACTGCAAGCTGCTTTAATGGTTCAAACACATCACAGCCGCGGCCAAATCTTCCAATTCCTCATAAAAACATGGCTCTCCAGAACAGGGGTTATGCCAAGAAATAGTCGCAATTGCTTTACACAAAAGTAAACCTTCTGAGTTTCTGTAATTAGTTACATTATCTAAGCTCATCTCTACAGATCTGTTTTTCATAAATTTCTTCAAATCAGGCCTTTTGGATCTATTGCTGAGAGAGAACTTCAACATGTAAAAACAGAGAGAAGAAGCACGAGATTACAAAATCCTTCCCTCAGCTCAGATACCCTCAGACATCTTTTTTCAGGGGAATGTAAGAAAATAAACAGATCACTATGTAGCATGGATTCTGCTGAGGATCAAAATTACTGAAAATAACCACAGCGTTGCCCATTGATGCTAGTTTTGTTTAGGGAAGTCTTCAAGCACACCTACATATGCATTAAAGGATAACCAGTTACATGGGCTAGAAAGCTTTTCAAGAGCACTGGTATAATTTAAATATAATTTTATTTCCACATGAAGGAAGTTAAGTACATTTCATGACCATGTGCTTTTGGAAATCCCTATGAAGTGACCAGAACACCGTCAAAACCCTGCTTTAGTCATATGCTGAAAGGGGATCTTTGAAAGAACAGCAGAAAGAAAACTGTAATACAACCCTGCTTTGATCTACTTTTTCCATGATATCCTTAAGTCGGATGAGGAGTGTAATGCTTCTGCAGAAACAAAGCAGAAAAATAAATTCTAAGGATTTATGTTTCTTGAGTTTCATGGAAAGCAATAAAGCAGAGGAAGTAGGGAGAAAGCTGTAAGGACTGTACAGTACATTTTGCTTCTGTGATGTGGGAAAATAACTCAGATTGTAATTGAAGTATTTTCAGCAAAGCCTCTCCATGAGACTTCTTTTTAATTGCCAAAGGGGGATGAGAGTAACAAACTCTTATTAAAATTGCAATGTGAATAATTACAGGTTTTCTAAATGTACACTCTAAAGAATCAAATGACATCTGGACTAATTTATACATATCAATTAGCCAGAGAATCTCCACTCTACCACACACCAAGTTGCTAGAGAAATCAAAGACTTAAAAGAAAGTCATTGTACACTTCTTTATAGTATCTACTGTATATTGTACATTTGTATATATTAAGTCAGAACCAATTCATAAAAAAGCATGTTAAAATGGAAATATTTTGCTCTTCACCAAACAGAAATTCAGAGCATTGATCAAGTTTCCGTTGAGAGATCCTACCAAAGAATTTTAGCTACAGCTAGCTGGTGTCTATACAAGACACTCCCTCTCTCTCTCTTCCTAAAATCACAACCGTTCAGCCACGCATGAAACTTCCCAGAACTAATGGTTATCTCTCAGGTGCAGACAGTCACACCTGTGCTCCGAGCTGCCTGGATCAAAGCCAGCTCCAGTTTGGAAGCCATATGGCTGGATTATAATTGCACCGAACATGAGTGAATGTGCGCTTCTGAGAGAAAGGGGGAATTAGTTTGGGTTTAGCATCACATCAAAATATTACTTGCATTCAGCCAGCTTTTAAATCAGAGGCAGAATGGATGCACAGCTGTCTGCCTTGGATTGGAAAAGCACGTCCTTTATCTCTTGCAGCTGATGTATTATGAAATTTGAGCATTTTAATGCATGAGTCATCCATTTCCTTACCGTGGTATTGCAAGTAGCTAATGATATACTTTGCAGCAAAAGCTTGAAAATACAGATAGTAAAAGGAAGAAGGATTTTAATTGCTGAATTACATATGCTTTCTTGTTGTTTGTTTGTCCTTTGTATTTCCATCTCTTCAAAACGCTGCCTTAAAGTATAGTGAAAAAAACTTCTGTGAAAGTATTCAGTAAGAAATAGTTATAGAGCGTTTGCAGACAAGAACAACTGATTAGTCTTAGTTTTGTATTGAAACAGTCTAATACAATTTCGTATGGGTATAACAGTTTTTTTATGATTCATGGCAGGGTATCTGTAACAACAAGAGTCCCATTTTACAAGTGACAAATGACTCTGAGTCATGAGATAATGCCAAATGGCAGGAAAGGGAAAAATAATATTGCATTTTCAGAAGTAAAATGTCAAAAGAACTCTACCACTGGTTGTATTCAGAGTGGGGTTTCCCAATGTTTTATTGTCATTTGTTTTGCATGGGCAGTTCCAGCTGCTAAGACTGAAGTGCTGAAAATCATTGCAGGAGAGTTGGACTACGTGATCTATAATGGTTTCTTCCAACTCAGATGATTCTATGAGATAGAACACTGCAGAATGATGAGAAATTAAACTGAAATGAACTCTTCTATAACAATCCCTGTTTCTACATCTGATGCACTCCTAGCAAATACTTTCTCAAGCCAGGCCTCAGCTGATGTGAAAGTTGTTCAGCAATGAAAGTAGCCCCAAGAGATATTGTGACTCAGAGACACACCTGCAAGTTACAGTTCCTGCCCTGCTCCCTCTTGATTGTGTAGGAAAAGAGGGATGTTAGTAATCTGCTATGGAATATCCCAGCATGTGAGAGCAATGCACCACTCCTGTTGGCCCAGCGGTTGCAGCCAGCAGCCTGAGGGCTGATGCCACAGCTCCAGCCCACCACTGTTGGCTTTCCACAGTCAGACAAGAAGTAGCAGCAAGGTGTGCACTCATTTACATCTCTGTCCTAATCCGAAGTAATGAATGCACATGGAAATGCTAAGCAGAACTTACTTCCTCCTGGCTGAGCATTTGCACTACCTCTCGTTCACAGTGGGGTAGGACTTGATATTCGTATTTATGCATTGCAGAGCTATATGTGAAATCAGGCACGCAGGTGTACAACTAATTCACAAACAACACTTTTTGTTACATCTGTGAAACTACTGGCAGATTTTCACTGTTTAGACAGAGAGGTCAGGTGGATAAAGATTTTTCAGTATTTCACGGGAGCAAGCATTCTCCACAACATGGGTTTGCCCAGGAAATTAAGCTTACGGTCAGAGACTCAAACAATATTATAAAATATACTAGTATTTAACAATAATTAGGGTTTATTCATATGTCAGAATGGGATCTTTTCTTCAGACAAGAAAATTAATTTATTTTTCCACAGTTAATCTAAGAATGTCTTACTGATCCATCCAATTAACAGTCTAAATCTCAATGTACGACACATGATTAATTCCCTTTTCATCTGCCTTTATTCACAAATTTTGCTTACTAACTATATTTTTTGGAAAAAAAAAACAAACCAAAAAACTAAATTAAGATGAAACAGTATTACACACACACACGTTGAAAATGACAGAAGTCTTGTAATGTCTTGTCAAACTCAAAAGTTTCTGCAATCCCACAAACCCAGTGTAAGGACTGCATCAAAAGTAACCATAAAGAAAGCTCTTCCACTGTTGGACTGGGGAACACAAACGCAGAACAAAGCTACTAAAAAAATACAAAAACAAAACCAAACAAGAGCAAGTGAGAATATGAAAACTTGTTTTGAAATTTGTCACATGCATTTTAAGTAAATGTAGGCATAACAAATATATGCACAGTAAAAAAATTACTCTAAATTTAGATATCTATGCTGATGTTTAATGTACTCTGGTTTGGAGACCCATAGTGAAGACTGTTTGCATGCACTTTCACCATACAGGTGTTACTGCTACTCCATATACTGGTCTCAGGGTAGACTCTTCCCTTCTGACTACATAACAAACTTATCCCCATCATCTGTGGAGTCCAGGTAGGTTATTTTGCTGGACCATTCAAAATGGTTTCAAACTTAAAGGGGGTAGCTTTAGGTTGAATTTGAGGAAGAAGTATTTTGCAGTAAGGATGGTGAGACGATGGAACAGGTTGCCCAAAGATGTGGTTGATGCTCCATCTCTGGAGATACCCAAGGTCAGGCTGGACAGGGCTCTGAACAACCTGATGGAGCTGTAGGTGTCCCTGTTCAATGCAAGGGAGTTAGATAAGATGACCTTTGAAGGTGCCTTCCAACTCTAAGGATTCCATGATTTGCCAAGTGCCTACAACCACCATTCGTTGACAATGAAGAAATCCTAAACCAATTAAACACCCCACAAAGCTGAATTTGGCCTTAGATCATTTTCTTAGATAAACACCAATTTTTGCTCCTTCTCTGAAATTCCTTTCCTCTACTCTTAAATTACACTCTGTGATAAAGGAATCCATCACAGTATTTCCAGGTAGACATTCTTCCTCATTTATTTATGTCACAGCAGATTGATAACCAGAGTTCAGAAAGTCACACAAGAGTGACTTCCCCCGTTAAATATCCATTGGAACATGACCATACATTTAGTTTAATATGAGAGAATGAATATTAAAAACAAGAGAGGTTGGCATAAGAAGAGAAAGGAGGGTGTTACACAGTTTGGTTAGTTTATAAAGCTACACATTCTGATATCACTACAGATATACATACAAGAAGCAGAGCTACTGCTATGGAAAGGCAGTAAGTTTGTCCTGATGCTGTTCTGGCATCTGACATGAGACATCACCTTTGTCAATTTGGGAAGCTAAGTGTCAGCCTCCCAGATCTGTACCGTCAGAAGAAAAAACTGTCACTGCTTTCATTATCCATAGATTCAGCGAAGAGAAAGTCTAATAAATCAAAGAGAAAATCTAACAATGAACAAAGACATGGTGGTGGAGCTGATGTAGGCATAAAGCATATTTACAACCACTACAACTGGCAGAAATTTGGCAAAGCACCTTGCTGCAGAATGAGAGTCTCAGTCTTTTCTTTACTTCACTTCTGCAGTTTTGGGGATACAGCCAAAGCCAGCTTGTTTCCCAGGACCCTGAAAGATGAAATGCCTTCCAGGTTCTGCTTCCCAAAACACAGTGCTCCTCTTTCCCTAATCTTGTACCTGTTCTGCTGATGGTGTGAATGATTCCAGTGCTTCCCATCTTCTACTGAACGCATTCATCACATTTATCAGCTGCAATGGACTAATTAGTGTATTACACATTGGACCGTATTTATCTCACAGTATACAGAAAATGTGGTTTTCTTCAGATACCCTCAAATGAGTGATGTAAACATTCAATTGTGCTCCTTGGACACCACTCACTTAAATACTCATAGGGGACATCTTTTGCATTTATCACATTCAGTAGCTAATAAAATGATGCTCCTAGTGTGAATTCTGAGTTCTCTCTTACAGATCTGTCTGGAAAGTGTTCAAGGACACTTCCATGTTCTTTACTCCAAGAGCAGTTAAGGAAGCTGATGGTATAAAACAGAAGAAATCCTTTCATGTTCTTGTTCATGTTGCTGGCTAAGCGAGGATCTGGTAGCAATTCTGAACATCTGTTTCATTCAGTTGGAAATTGTTTCAACTTGCGAATTACAACAGTGAAGCGCACTTGTTTTACAAACTGCGTCCTTGCTAGCCTTTGTTTTCCCACATTGCTGGGTGATTACGGCAGCGTGAGCACTGCGCTGTACTGTGGGCGCTTTGTGGGTGGAATTAAATGGATGCAGAATTGATAAGAAAAAGAGTTATCACCTTAAGTTGAACACGTGCTCATACATAAGGTCTGCCTTGTTATTTACTCCCATTTATTTAAAAGTCTTGTTTTAAAACAGCCAGTATTCAACTCACTGTTCTAATGGATAACACAGTTCTCTTACGGGCTGCTCACCACGACAAGCAGCCATGCAGCAGATTCAGCACCTGCGGGCTACTGCTCAGCTCCCAGCCTTATCCTCCCGGAACAACAAAACCCTGGGCTTGCAGCTGGTATAATGTTTACCAGTTTGCCTCTGACCCTTTATTCCTCCCACTTTAACCTACCCACGCTGATATACTTGGTGGCATTCAATCAAGATAAAGACAGCAGCATATTATTGCACTTTATCATTGATTTAATTTTGCAGTACTGTCACCGAAATTGCAAAGTCTCGTGCTCAGCAACTGTTACCCCCATACTCTTTTGAAAACAGAAGGGAAACAAAGTGGTTCATCTGTTCTACAGAAATACAGTTTTTCACAAGTTTGTTTTGTTTTGTGAATTCCAGACTTACACAGCTCTCACAAGAACTATGATAAACACACCGTACAGGAAATATACTACAAACTGAGGAACTCTCACGTAACCCAGATTACCCAGCTCAGGAATTTAATGCAACCAGGATGAGCTCTAAGTTCCCTGTTCGGTAATACAGTACTTCAGAAGAATAAAATATCCTTCTGTTCTATATTCTAGTGGTTGGTGACCCTGCACATAGCAGGGCGGTTGAAACTAGATGATCATTACGGTCCTTTTCAACCCAGGCCATTCTATGATTTTGATTCTAAGATCCAGCATTCTCCCACTTCAACAGCTGCTGCAACTCATCACTGCAGACACAAAAGACTAAACTCAAAACCTGTCCCTCCAACAGGTTTTTTCCAAAGATAAAAGTAATGCAGCCCAGAACTTTAAACCACACATATGAGGAGAAGCAAGAGATGAAGTCTCTGCTCGCTTTATGCAGCAGCTGATCAAAGGATGAGACTTGAACTGGATGGAGCTTTTTAAAAGGTCATCTGGTCCATCTACCCAGTGGCTGCTGAGGGACATGCACACTGTCCAGGCAGAAGGTGTTCTGTTTTACCAGCATCCCCTTCCAGAGCACTCATCCCACCGGAGTCTGGATTCACACGCATAATGAATCCAAAAGGATATACATGCTGTTCAAGCTGGTAGATGGGACAGACTGTGTGTGCTCCTGTGCCAAGCCACATCACATTAAAGAGCAGAAAGCAGCAGGTGTGGCTAAGTCCTGCAGCTCAGGCTGCAGCACTGGGAAATAGCTCACAGCTCCAGACAGGACAGCACCACACCCACCATCACTGCATATATGGAACAAACATTTCAAAGGCCCTATATGCTGACTGTGTGGGTCCCTGTGAAGGACACTACCAGCCCTGTCCCACTGGAACAGATGGATCTGAGCAGTACCCACATCTATGCCTTTCCTTATGTTCCTCGGGGCAAGGAGAGGTGTGTCCTCCAGTACTTAAAAGGAGCTTATAATCAGGAAGGAGACCAACTTGTAACAAGGGCAGATAGTGATAGGACAAGGGGGAATGTCTTCTTTTTGAAAGAGGGGAGATTTACGTTAGATGTTAGGGGGAAATTTTTTACTCAGAGGATGGTGAGGTGCTGGCATAGCTGCCCACAGAAACTAAGAATGCCCCGTCCCTGGAGGCATTCAAGGCCAGGTTCGACGGGGCCTTAGGCAGCCTAATCTAGTTAGTGAGGGGCAGCTCTGCCCACGGCAGGGGTTTGGAACCAGATGGGCATTAAGGTCTCATCCAACTTAAGCCATTCCATGATTCTACGACTCTATAAAACAGAGCATTCACCTGCTGCCCAACCATCCTTCATCCCTAGGTCAGCACTGGCTTCCAGGTGACTCTGTTGCCCACCCACCTCCAGGCACAAATCTCTGCCTTATTTCCAGCCGGGACAGGGCCCGTCTGGCTGTGAAGGGACCACATCCACACCGCAGCCGGTGGGTTCTGCCCCCAGCATGTACCCCCGTCTCACCTTGTAGACGCTGATGGGGATGTCGATGATGATGTGCAGCAAGTCACCCAGCGCCAGGCTGGCGATGAGGATGTTGGGGCCGTTCCTCATGCACTTGTTCTTATAGATGATCCGCAACAACGTGGAGTTGCCGATGATGCCCAGGACGAAAACCAGGCATGACACCACCGTGTTGATATACTTGAAGGTCTCCTTGATCTCCGTCTGCCCGGTGCACATCGGCGGCGAACCCGAACGCGGTCGCCCTCCGCCCGCTCCCCCGCCGCCCTGGGGCAGCGCGGCCGCCCGGGAGGCATTGGGCTCGGCGCCGCGCGGCGCTGGAGGCGCGGCCGTCGGAGGGGTTCCGTCGGCTGCCGCCGGACTCAGCCGCCCGTGAGCCGGCGGGCGCAGGGCTCCGTCGCCCTCGGCGGCGGCGGGGCGGCGGCCGAGCAAGAGCAGCAAGAGGGCGAGCAGCAGCCAGAGGCGGGCGGCGGGCATGGCCCCTAGCCGCGCAGTGAGCGGGGCTGGGAAGCGAGTGCGAGGCCGCAGCGAGTCCCGCCGGGGCGAAGGGAAAAAGCGTGACCGGGAAGACCCACTCTGCTCCCGCTCCTCCCGCTCCGCTCCCCCTTGCCGGGCCGGGTCGGGTCGGGCCGGGTCTCCCCGCCCGCCGCCTACGGGGCTCCGGCTGCCGAGCGAGGGAAACGCGCTCCGCAGGTCGATCCCCGCCCCGTCCGGCTGCCGCCACTCGCCCCTCGCCGCGGCTGGAGGGACCCGGCGGCTGTCAGCGGCGCAGCCAAAGCTGGCGGCTAAAACCCAGGCGGCGGGGCAGTTCCCCCCCTTTTCTAAAACATAGGGCCGCATCTGACCCGTCCGTCACGGCCAGACCCAACCCGCGCCTCCCGCCCCTCTCGCCGCCCTCCGCCTGCCCCGCTGGGGGCTGCTCTCCCGTCCCGCGCCTCCCTGTTTCCGTCCTCCTCCCGCTGCACCAGGTGCGTCGGCTTCAGCCACAGCAGCGCTGAGGTGTCACAGCAATTTTCAAAGCGACGCAGCTTTTGGCGTTGTCACAGGTCGCTTATGGGAAGTAGGAGGGTTTTTCCTTGCCGGTCTCCCCGGGACCACTCCCCAGTATCTAGGGAGAGGCGTTTCCCTTCGCGTTTTATCCCCCTTGCAGTAGCGTCGTGACCGCTACGAACCCGTGTGATGTAGCGCGGTTATCTCACCGCTGCGGCAGCCTCAGCGATGCCTCTGATCTTAGCTCCTTCCAGTTACGGGGCCCTTCTTTCAGCGAAGCATAAGGGAAGGAGAAGATCTCTGTTCGGGGTCTTCTGTAAGCGAGAGCTGCCCCTGAAGGTTGGAAACAACTGCACGTCCAGCTGAAATGGATGTCAGCCTGTTTCCAACAGACCTATGTGCATCTTCCCAATCTCAATTATGCCGGAAGCAGAAAGTCATATGCGGAGAGTGGATGAGTAAACACTGCGTTTATGACCAACTCACCTACATCACTGATATACACCCAGAGGGGAAAACAACAAAAAAGAAACGTTTCTTTTAAGCTCACTTCAGTTGCTGGTCTGATCTCTCATCTTTCCAGCATCTCCTGCTAACATTTCCTGAAGCCACAGTAGCAGACAGCCTTTTCAGCTCCTCATTTAACTGCACTTTCGTGTGTTCATCTTTGTTGAAGTTGGCCATATCCAGCATCTTTCCCATTTAATCCCTCTCGATCCATTTCCTAATGTAGTGGCATTTTCATTTTTCTCCTCTTTTGCATTTCTGAAATGAAGGCACCGTGCTCACTTCTCAGCTGCAGGAGTGTAGCAGGAGGTTAATTGCACTCCAGCTGGAAAAGTGATCTTTCCAAGTTCAGCCTTTTTCCAATTATGTTTTGCAGTAGGATACATTTTGCAGAGCTAATTCAGCTCTGTGACACAAAATGTGTTAAATTGAAAGAACCCCAAGATATGTGCACTTCAGGTCCTTCAGTTTGCATTTCTGCATTTCCAGTTCTGCAGTTGGTGTTTGCAGCACTGATTTTTATTGCAAGCTCTTGCCAATTAGTATAGCATTAACTTTTAATTGGAAGTAAGTGCTGAAGACATGAGAGCGGACTTTCAGTATCTAAAGGGGAGCTGTAAGAAAGAAGGGGACGGACTCTTTAGAGGGATCTGGTATGACAGGACAAGGGGAAATGGCTTTAAACTGGAAGAGGGGAGATGTATATTGGATGTGAGGATGATGTTTTCTATAGTGAAGTGGTGAGGCACTGGAAGAGGTTGCCCATAGAGGTGGTGGATGCCTCATCCTTGGAGACATCCAAGGTCAGACTGTATGGGGCTCTGAGCAACCTGATGGAGCTGTAGGTTCATTGCAGGGGACTTGGACCAGATGGCCTTTACGGGTCCCTTCCAAATCAAACTATTCTATGATTCTATGAAATGCTTCTGACTAGCAAGATTGTTTTCTATATCTAGAGTGTTTCTACGCTGATCCTGACCATCAAGAAATAGACGTAGAGTGGTTGCACAGAGATATGTTTGCCAACAATATTTTTGTTCAGTTACACTGGATATGTTTCTTACTGTTGGAAGTGTTTATTTCAGATTCAGAATTATTAGCAATTGCGATTTAGCTTCAGAAAATTTTAGTAAAATCATTAGTGCAGGCAGAACTCCAGACAGCTGCTGATACTTGAGGTAGAATTCCTTTGTAGCATTGCACAAAAAAAGCACCTCGTGTTTTTCTGGATGCCAGCAGTCTTCCTGCACCAGCTTTTTTCATAATTATAGTTAGTTATGGTGAATAATCAGTAATGACAAAATTCACTGGTCTTCAGAAATGAAGGGATAGACAAGGAAATACAAAGTCACTCTGACAGTAATGCCTCCTATTTATTTCCATGGAAACTACAGCAGATACAAAGAGCAAAATAACACTATTTGATAGAGCAAATGCTCAGCTCTGAAAAAGAAAAAAAAAGAAAAAGAAAAAGAAAAAAATTTTTCAACAGCATTACCGCCATTAGGAAATTAGGAATACATTTTCACCGAAGGTGAACAGGAGTCTGCATGCCATGCTCATACAGAGTTGTACTGTCTCTGTCACTACTGCTGAAACACACCACCCACACCCTCACAGTGCTCACATCCACTCTTTGGTCTCCATAAACATTTAGCACGTGATGATGAATGTCAGTGGGAATCATTTTTGCTTCATGGAGTTATTCAGTGATGCACTTTTGCTCCATATGCACTTCCATGTCAGATACCATTTTGTCAGACTGCTCCTCTGCTGCCATCTGTCACACAGCAACAAAATGCAATGGAATACCAGTGGGGAGGTTCAACCTCTGCTGCTATATCACTACTATATCACTAACATCTGCCTCTGACATCATGGACCAACATAATAAAATAGGAGGCATTACTTTCAGAGAGCCAAAAGGCTGCTATGTTTGCCTCTTTTTTTTTTTTTTTCCTTCATTCTCTGACTTTATAGAGTTTGGATTACTTGACAAATTTTAAAAAGAGAGTATGCTATGATACAAGTCTCCTTTAAATAGTGAAAAAGGGAAGCTCGGTTCCACATAATATATAGACTGGCAAATCAATTGTAGCATAAATGAAGAAGCAGCTAAGGTCATTCATCTAAATTGTAACAGGAGAAAAACATCTGTAAATAAATAGACTGTTTATCCTAAGTGGTCCAAATTACTAATCGAGTAATTTATTAACTGCTGATAAAGGTTGCTAATTATTAAATAAATTCTATGCTGAACTGTATGAAATTCATTACAGATGATGATGTTCTGCTCATGTACCTGACTCGCTTTTCTTTTTTTTTTTTTTCCCAGAAAGCAGAAATACTCCTGACCTACCTAAAGTTCATTTTTCTACAAAGTGAGGGAAGTTCAATCACCATCTAATATATCCTCCAGGCTCCCTGACACTTGTTTAAATATTTTCTGTACTTCCACTTCATTTTCTACCAACAGTTTATTAACTATAGCTAGTGACTCTCTTAATTGTAAGTCAGATGTAGCATAGTTATCAGTGGCTGATCACCAAATCACAGAATCGCAGGGGTTGGAAGGGACCTCGTGAGATCATCGAGTCCAACCTTTTGCTAAAGCAGGCGTCCTACAATATAATGGCTGATAATGCTCTGAAATTAGTTTTGGAACCTCATACACAAACTAGATAGACTGGATAACTTGTAGCCACCACCAGGATGATTTTCAACAAAAGAAAGGTTTTTAGAATTATGCCATTATGTGTAGAATAAATCATGCAGAGTGATCAAGATTGTGGCATCAGAATTCCATTTATGAAGATGACGAGACGCACCTCAGGAATGAGTATTTTAATGCATGCTGTATTCACTGAACAAAAGCATGAGCTTGCTGGTACTTTTGCAAATCTCATTCATTTTCTGTTTATATTGATCAGCAACCAAGTAGCTTTGGAAATCTGCCGCATCAGGTCTGCTTTTGTTTTTATTGAGCCCAGTGGAAATTTGCCCACTAACTGTGCAAGTTCCGGAAGAACAGAAAGAATAGACACTGCTGTGTGAGCTGCTCATTGGGTGCGTGTGCGTTAGGAATAGTGTGGCCAACAGGAACAGGGGGGTGATCATCCCCCTGTACTCAGCACTGGTGAGGCTGCACCTCGAGTACTGTGTTCAGTTTTGGGCCCCTCACTACAAGAAAGACATTGAGGCCTTGGAACGTGTCCAGAGAAGGGCAGTGAAACTGTTGAGGGGTCTGGATCACAAGACTTACAAGGAGCAGCTGAGGGAGCTGGGATTGTTCAGTCTGGAGAAGAGGAGGCTCAGGGGAGACCTCATTGCACTCTACAACTTCCTGAAGGGAAGGGGTTTGGCCTCTTCTCCCAGGCAACAAATAGGACCTGAGGAAATGGCCACAAGTTGTACCAGAGGAGGTTTAGGTTAGACATGAGGAAGAACTTTTTCTTTCAGAGGGTGGTCAGGCACTGGAATGGCCTGCCCAGGGAGGTGGTGGTGTCACCATCCCTGGCAGTGTTCAAGAGGCGTCTGTATGAGGAGCTACAAGAGATGGCTTATTAGCTTGTAATAGTAATTGTGATGGGAGGACGGTTGGACTAGATAATCTTGTAGGTCCTTTCCAATCTTGTGATTCTATGATTCTATGATTAGGGTGGCCAATTAAAGTCAGGAAAGTAGTTTTCTATGTTTTCAAAATAGCCATAGAAACATTACCAATGACAGTTTTAAAGGAATAAATACAATTTACTTTGAGAAGTTCAGAAACAAGGATGCAGCAGTTTTGTAACCGCACATGGTTATATATAGAACAAATAGCACAGAAGAATAACTCCCTCATTTTTTTTTCTCTTACTCTAAATTTATGACAAAATGTGAAATTCTTTTTTTAATTTTTATTTTTTTCTTTTTTAGTGATATATGGCTGTTGCTTTGCCTCTTCTTTTTAGAAGTGAAGCAACTTGTATAAATTGTTGTCTGTCAGCTGTAGTGTACTGATGTTACGTCTAATTCTTGAAACAGTGGAGCTTTATTTATTTTATCATTAAAAGTTATAATAAAACAATATCAGAAGATATCACAAATGAAACCTGA